TGGAAACGTTGATGAGAAGTTTTATTGCCCCCGAATCCAAGAAAACTGCCAAAGGCTGTCCGTTCAGTTGAACTTGAATTGTTTTTGTGCCCACTGTTGCGCCACATGGGATGCGCCGAACTACTGATGACCTCTCGCATGCGTCAGAGGCGCCATCTTGTCGTCTTCCTGCGTCGGTGCTGCAGTGGATTCAAAGCTCTGTTGCCACTCCAAAAATTCTGATGTGAGCTCCTGCCGACACCGTGTGACGAAGTGGCCGCTCTTCTTACTTCAGGCACAGCGGACGAACTTCAGGGTGCCGAAACAAAGAACGCCGAAAATCCTGCGAAGCTTTTAACGTGCGTCTAGGAGACACGTGCTGCTTCTTTTGCTTTTCACGTGGAGAGAGAGGCTGCTGACAATGGCCATCATCCGCGTTCTGACGAGGCGGCGACCGGTCCTGCTTCGAGAGCGTAAAGGAGGACGATTTCTTGGTTACCTCCGCAGCTTGAGCTGGCTCTGCAGCTACCGGCAATGCTGAAGACTACCTGGTCGAAGCGAGGAATGAGTCCAGCGAATCATCCAACGAAGCAAAGAGTCTGTCGATGTAGTGCTTTCGTGGTTTGTCAGTGTTGCCAGGATAACCCCTCATTTCTCCGCCTCCGTCTCCGAGTGGTTGCACTCGTCGATGAGCTCCAGTTTGCGGAAGGCGAAGTCTGTGCAGGACTCTCCCGAACACTGACTTGCGCCGAACATCTTCTGTTTTGCTGCCAATTCGTTGTCCAGGTTGTAACGACGACGGAAAGCGGTATTCATTTGCTACCACGTCGTTACCTTGGTTGTCTTTACGTGTTACCTCACCCACATGAAGTCCTTAGGTGGTAGCTTGGATACAGTCAATGGGGTGTCCTCACTTGGTGCGACTTTAAACGTACGGAACCAGAAATCCATCTGGTGAAACCAGGCGATGATGTCCTCGCCTAGCTGAGGAACCGACCTGACAGCCACGTTGGTCAGCGACTTTGTCGGCCGGCCTGATGTGACTGCAGTGTCTGCGGCTGACTCAGCTTGAACAGGAGCTTTTTAGAGCGCAGCTCTTAGGCGCCCGTTCCCGGCTTGAGCGGCGTCGGCGTCGGCGTCGGCGTCGGCGTCGCCGTCGGCGTGACCGCGCGGTGCATTATGGGTAAATTTCCCCGCTAAATTTAGCGGGAAAATTTCCCCGCTAAATCTAGCGGAAAAATTTCCCCGCTAGATCTAGCGGAAAAATTTTCCCGCTAAATCTAGTGGAAAATTTTCGCCGCTAAATCTAGCGGAAAAATTTCCCCGCTATATTTGGCGGAAAATTTCCCCGCTAAATCTAGCGGACAAATTTCCCCGCTAAATCTAGCGGAAAAATATCCCCGCTAGATCTAGCGGAAAAATGTCCCCACTAAATCTAGCGAAAAAATTTCCCCGCTAAATCTAGCAGCAAGTGAAAGCCGTTTACAACTCCCTGTAACCCCGAATTAGAGCGCAGCTCTTGAGGAGGGGTAGGGAAGGGTACTGAGGGGGGGGGGGCTTACATGACCTTGGGGGGGGTCGCGTGACCTGGGGGGTGTCACGTGTCCTCGGGGGTTGTCACGTGACCTCGGGGGGGGGGGTGGTCACCTGACCCCCAGAGAAATTTTTCCGCCAGATTTAGCGGGCAAATTTTTCCGCTAGATTTAGCGGGGAAATTTTTCCGCTAGATTTAGCGGGAAAATTTTTCCACTAGATCTAGGGAAAAATATTTCCGCTAAATTTAGCGGAAAAATTTCCCCGCTAGATCCTAGCGGAAAAACTTCCCCGCTAAATCTAGCGCAAAAATGTTCCCGCTAAATTTAGCGGAAAAATTTCTCCCTAGATCTAGCGGAAAATTTTTCCCGCTAAATCCAGCGGGAAAATGTGCCCGCTAAATCTGGCGGAAAAATTTCTCTTGGGGTCAGGTGACCACCCCCCTCCCCCCGGGGTCACGTGACACCCCCCGAGGACACGTGACACCCCCAGGTCACGCGACCCCCCAAGGTCATGTAAGCCCCCCCCCCCCCCCCCCCTCAGTACCCTTCCCTACCCCTCCTCAAGAGCTGCGCTCTAATTCGGCGTTACAGGGAGTTGTAAACGGCTTTCACTTTTTTTCTTAGGTACCTTGTTCCTCTTTTTCTTGGCGGACTCGCACTCTGAATTGTCTGCAATATAGGTCGCTCTGCACAGCGATTCTGCTGACGAAGTTCTCCCCATCTTTTCCTCGAGCTGATCAAGACGATCCACGACAGGCGCCAGCAGTCCGCAGATTAAATTCTCTGTTGCCTGTAGCTGCCTGTTGGTGGCGTTGTCACAAGGGCGCCATATGTCCTCCAGTCGGCCGATCGGTTGCGCAGAGGTCGCGTTCTTGAGCTCTGATAGCTGTAGGCGCAGCTGCTCCACCTCGGATTTCAGGCTTTCCGTGCGGCTGACGACTGATTGGTATGCGGCGTCCTTGGCGTAGTCATCCAGCCTTGAGAAAGCTTCAAAGGAACGTTCCGCCATCTTGGAGTTAACTTGAAACCTTGGCAATTCCAGGCGATTGTGGTTAGTGGAGACCTAGTCGAAGTGAGCGCCGTCCCCACATAGGTTGTTAGCGTGAATTTCCTGAAGAACCGGGTTCCCGTTCGGGCGACATGTGTGACGATTCGTTGTGGTCGTCAAGAAAAATGGGCTCCGAGCTCAGGAAAGACACGTCAACCTCTGAGATTCCATGCCGAACTCACTTTTTAGAGCGCAGCTCTTAGGGGCCCGTTCCCGGCTTGAGCGGCGTCGGCGTCGCCGTCGCCGTCGCCGTCGGCGTCGGCGTCGCCGTCGGCGTCGGCGTCACCAAGGTCATCCTAAGGTCACGTGACCCCCAAGGTCACGTGACCCCTCCAGGTCACGTGACCCCTCCCAAGGTCATCTCAAGGTCACGTGACCCCATGTGACCCCTGAAGGTCACGTGACCCCCAAGATCACGTGACCTTGGGGGTCACGTGGGATCATCTTGGGATCACGTGACCCCCAAGGTCACGTGACCCCTCCCAAGGTCATCTCAAGGTCACGTGACCCTTTGAAGGTCACGTGACCCCCAAGGTCACGTGACCCCCGAGGTCACGTGGTCTCCTCCCCAAGGTCGCGTGACCCCCCGCGGTCATGTGACCCCCCACGTCATCTCAAGGTCACGTGACCCCAAGGTGATCCCCACGTGACCCCCAGGTCACGTGACCCCTCTGAGGTCACGTGACCCCCCGAGGTCACGTGACCCCCAAGGTCACATCGGGGTCACGTGACCCTGAGGGGACCCCCATGTGACACCCAAGGTCACGTGACCCCCAGGTCACGCCTCCCCGAGGTCACGTGACCCCCCCTCCCCGAAGTCACGTGACACCCCCCCCCCCCCCCCCCCCCCCGAGGTCACGTGACCCCCCCCGGAGCATATTAAAGAATGAGGGGAGGAGTAGGAGAAGGAGGTGGGGTCTACCCTCCCCTCAGTACCCTTCACTCCTCCTCCTCAAGAGCTGCGCTCCAATTCGGCGTTACAGGGAGTTGTAAACGGCTTTCACTTTTTTTTTTTTTTTTTTTTTTTTTTTGCGCTCGCAAGCGCGGCGCCGGAGCTCGCACGAGCCGCACGAGTTGTCTTTTGCGGCTCGTCACAAGAGAGAGTGTACTTAATTATTAAAAAAGTAAATTGAAATAAACAAAACGGACGAAGACGTCCTGTCTTCCTTCTTTTTGTGTGCGTTTTGGTATTGTAGTTTTGTGTCGGCGGTGCACAGAAGAGTGGATTGTAATCTAAAACGCAGTAGTATCCCCACGGCAATGCTTTTTTCGTGTGTTGCTTTTGTTTAAAAAGATTGTTTAAATAATGGTTTCTGTTTCAGGAAACAAATCAATTATATTATCTCTGCTTTTAGGTATACCTTCCGCACAATATTCCAACTTTTAAACTTCCTCCGCACTATTAATTCCATTTGAAACATTGCCCAACTGCTCAGATTGCACCCGCCAAACACACAGCGTTGTCGTTAGCAACAGTGTAAGCTCTGACGTAACCATCATCCTAAGAGAGCCACAACAGCTCTCGACTGCTGTCTCGATGGAACAACCTTGTTCTTATTCTTTTATTTGCGGTCACTACTTTAAATGGGAAATGTAAGGCATAGAGCGCTTTAAAAAATGCCTGCGAATCGAGTTATATGCATCCTTCACGTATAATATGGAATAAACCGATCACATTCTAAGACTGCATTCCTTAAAACAAATAGGCGAGCATCCGTCCTTTCTTTGTAGGTTATAGAAGTCATCGCAACGCCTCTGTGCGGGGTATGTTGTACAAGTACAAGAAATTGAAATCTGGTCACTTATGCCAAATGTTTTGGTTCCGGCCACTCTGACGTTGGCTGCGATATTAGTAATAAAAAGGTCAATTACACTTGACGTGGCTTTAGTAATTCAAGTGGGAGGCACTCATGTCGTAAGCTTTCTTACTAGATGAGCGCTTAACTTTGAATACAGGAAAAAGAAAATCCGATTTTTATCGCTATGGTAAAACCATAGTTATTTAAATCACAATTTAAATCATTATATAAATCTAGCTTTAGATCATCTTGATTTCTTTTTCTCCACCCAGGTACTGTCCATTACTGGACTAGGATCACCGAATTATGATATGCTTCTCTTCTTAATCTACCGATTTTGGTAAATCATCCTTCTGTCGACGATTCCTCGGTGGGAAACGCGTACAAAGGCCGCCATTAGAAAGGGGAAGGAAAAATTGTAGCTTTCACACGTAGTTCCAAAAGTAATCAGTTTTCCCTTGGGCTGCTTTCTAAGAAATGTCAACAAATGATTACAAATTCATTTAAAAAAGTAATCGATTCCAAGTAATTACTACCAATGAGCACCGTTCAAGTCTGACATTGAGAACCGATAATTGGAAAGTAAGAAAAGAAATGCGAAAGTTGGCCCTTTCTCTACAAATATGCCTGATATTCCAGCTGCTCCCGATTTCGATGCCAGAGGCTGGAAAAAATGGGACGATCGTCTTGAAAGGCCTGTCGGGCTACATGGTGCAGCTCCTTTCTCAAGGCCTCGGATTCAAGTGAGTACCCTCCGATTGGGAATGAGTTCTCGCGCTGCAGTGTTCGAATAAACAACACTACATAAATTACATTTTTAATTTGTACCTTAGCAGCAAGGCACGCGCAAAACAAAAGCGAAATCAGAATAATATGTTCGAAAAAAGTTAAGTGAGAGCAGGTGTACAAAAATAAACTCATTAAACCAGTCCTCACCGCCGAGCCGGCAAACTGCTATGAGGAAAATAAAAAAATGGAAAAACACAAAAGGTCAAGTGGAGGTAGTACGCAAGACTCAGCTCTGACTATCGACTGCTGTTTAATTTACTCGAATTAAAGAAAACACATATACAATAAAGAATAATAATAAAAAAGACCGATTAAAAAACTCCGCTCGAAGAGCCACATCGTACCTTATACCGTTGAAACGAGAAAAAAAAACACAGGCAGCAAATCGGTGGTTGAGGCAAATTCGAACAAGCCACAAGGGTATTATCTATGAATGTGAGAGCATTTGTTGTTGCACACCGCCAAATTTAACGGGGAAACTGAATTGGTGAATAGACCGTGACGTCAATTTTTACGCTTGATTTAGCAGGGAAACTCGCCGCTAAACTTAGCGTCGTCCTCTAGGACGACGCTAAGTCCTTGTCGTCTTTGATATCACCCTAGAGGTCGTTCTCGAGGTCGCCCTAGACGTCCTAGACGCCGTCCTTGACGTTGTCTAGGACGGCGTCAAGGACGGCGTTGAGGACGACGCAATAGAGGACGACGTCAAACACAACATCCAGAACAACCTCTAAGACAGCTTCTAAGGCGACCTTAAGGACGACCTCTAGGAAGACCTCCAGGACGACGTTGAGGACGACGTCCTTAGAGGTCGACGTTAAAGACGACGTCTAGGACAATCTCGAGGACCACATCTAGGGTGATCTCAAGAAAGACCTCCTGAACGACCTCTGAGAAACCTCAAGGACGTCTAAGACGACGTCTAGGACGACCTTGAGAGCGACGTCCCTGACGTCATAAGGGAGGACGTACAGGACGACGTCCAGGAAAAACCCTAGGACGCCCTCTAGGACGACGGCAAGGTCGTCAGGTCCTTCGAAGAATGTGCGAATGTGAAGGAGCGAATACTACCGGTCCGCATTCGCGATGGGGTGCAAGCACAGTGAGCAAAAATGGTCTACTCCGCATACCTACTGCGCATTAGGAGACCACAATATACATAGCTTAAAATCTTGAGTAGTAGCTTAATAATGCTATCGCGTTAAAAACTAAAACAAAAACCAGGACAAATGTAGTCGGTTACATGCTAGGATTGGAGTTGAAACTCCGCCTCCAATACGCGCTCGTTGTCTTCAGCCGAATACTGGCTGCCCGTGTGAAGAAGCGCTATTGCTTATAGAAAAAATCGTAAGGGTGCAGGCGAGCTGGTGAATATTAACCATGTTGAAATAACCTGAGACTGTGGTAGAGAAGAAGTATCAAAGCGTAGAAGGGACAGAAAATAGACTGAAAATAGACAGAAAATAGACAGAAAATAGACAGCTGAGTTTGAGACGTCGTCCTGTCTATTTTCTGTCCCTTCTACGCTTTGATGCTTCTTCTCTACCCCAGTCTCAGGTTATTTCAACATGGTCGCTATTGGTTGTTTGTTTCTTTCTTTATTGGGAGAAAATATCTTGGGAAAAATATCAAAAGCCAGGGGTACTTTGCCTACGAATCCCAGCCAAAGGCAGAAAGCTCGTGCCGGAGGTGAAGCAATAATTGGGGTTGTGGGGATATTTAGACAGCGTGTACTTCGTCAGCCATTACAAAGACGCGTCGAGTCACTTGCTCTATATGAGAAATTTAGCCAGTGTGGTACAATCGCCAGCCTGGGATCTTTAACGTGCGGCACGCAGTAGTGGTACACGATCGCACGCCGGTACGATGCTCATCCTGACCGAAACGGGCAAGCAAGGGGGGGGGCAGTGAGCCCAGGATTTCTGGGTTCTGCAGCGCGAGCTTTCGCTCCAGATTCTCCGAGCTGGTTTGCGCTTTAGTGTGCGCTAGCCCACTCGGCCACCGATATCCCCCAGAGGTGGAGCAATAATAATTAGGGTTGTGTGGATATTTATACTGCGTGTAGTTGGTCAGCCATTTCAAAGTTGCGACGAGTCACTCGCTGTAGATAAGAAATCTAACCAGTGCAATAAAACCTATAGCCTGGGGTCTTTAACGTGCACCACGCAGTAGTGGTACACGACCGCACGCCGGTACGATGCTTATCCTGATCGAAACGGTCAGGGGAGTGAGGATTGAGCCCAGGATCTCTGGGTTCTGCAGCGCGAGCTTTCGCTCCACGTTCTCCGAGCTGGTGTGCGCTAGCCCACTCAGCCACCAATTTCCCCGGAGGTGGAGGGCCTTCTGAATTCTTAGCATGCCATCAAAATATATGTACATTCCCAGGTGGAATTCTTGAAAGGGACGTACAACGATATTCGCTTGGAATGTGTTTAACGGTACGCAAGTTTATTGACACTAGTGGGACCCAAGTATAGTGGCACGAAACGCCACTGACAAAGAAACTTCTTTGTTTCGGTATAACTTTAAGAACCAAAGCGAGCGTTTTTGTTCAATCTCTCCTTCGCAAAACTTGATGATGTCTATAGCTGGGCGGCCTCAGTATCTCCCAGTGACAATATTTGAATGCGGCTCGTAGATTGGACCCGAGCATTGCATGAGCACTCGGTTCGGGTTCGTGATGATCAATAGCTGGACAAGCATTCGGGTAGTGGCCCGTGTCCAGTCGCAGTAATGACGACAATAGCCGAGAAATAACAATGTCTTGAACTCAGCGCGTTTCCTGTGCTTTGCCAACCTCAGTGCGTTGCTATGTTTAACATTGGCGGCATATAATCGGCTCCAGATTATCTGGCCGCTTGTTCTGGATGCAAGTTAAAAAAATAAACGCTGCTCGTTTTTTTTTTTCTTCTTTTTTTGCGTTCTGTGTGGCGTGTGATGAAAAACGAACGCGTGTTTTATATGTCATTGACGTCAGGGTTCGGGAATCTGGCTACCGAATGTAGCACGCTTCGTGAATCTCTATAACCGGCCAGTTGAAATGTTTGGTGAACATTTTTATTAGGGATCGATTAAACTACCGATTATTCGGTAAACCTTTCACGAACCAAAAGAGAGTATAAACACAATGCTTTCGCCACGCAAATATGAAAGAATACACCTCTATGAAGTACAAACCTTCGGTGAAATTTTAACCTAAATTAAAGTGTAAGGGCGAGATTCGTAAGTCCAGACAAGTGCAGAAGATTGCACGCGTTGCGGTCACTTCAACGCCGTGCGAATTGCCTTTTACCGCTGCACACACTATTGTGAACAGTCAAAGGAGGCCGCTCTTGCCGGAGGATATCAATGAACGACTTAGCCTCACGCAGCTGAATTAATAATATGTGAGTGTGAGTGTCTTTGAACTGTTATCAACTAGGTATCGAAGCTGATTCAGAATCGAAAGTGCATATTGCGCATGTATCACATATTCCGCAAAAGCAAAAAAAAAAAAAATCTTTGTTTAAAAGTATAATGCATGGATGTGAAAAAGACCTATTAATTGATTAGTTAATCAGCTAAAAGGGGGATTAATCGGGATACAATTTTTAATTGACTCCCAGACCTAATTTTTATGTCACTAAACAGCGAGGAACAACCACATCTGTCGCAGCGCGCGGTTCTATATGCCGAAGATGCACACCGCGGCGAGCTCACGTAATATGTTCCGATTTATCCAGCTAGAAACTTTGGCGAATTGAGTGTGTTTTTGTACGGCGTTAATACAATGATACAAGGTTGATTTTGTAAACGGCCCAGAGAATTTCCTGCCGAGTAGCATACAATCACTAGCGATATAAAATATATTGACTACCATGTTGCGTATATATTCCACTAAACCGTAGAATTAAAAATTTACCCCGCATTTTACATCCAATCTACGGCATATTGAAACGGGTGCGTAAGGAGCGAAGGAAAAACGCTGTTAGGGAACTTCATTTGCACTCCCCTCGTCCTCTCTTCTTCCTGTGGTGGCGCAACACCTCCAAAACTACAAGGCCCAAGTTCCGGATTTCGTACGTCACTTATCGAAGGCCAGAGCGTGACGCACATTAGGCACGGGTGATGGGCCAGCGTTGGGCTGCAGAACTCGCGTTTAATCAGTGACAATACAAGTCTAAGGGCTCATTCACACTGGAAGCGGATCCGCGTTCGCAAAGCGGTTGCGAACGCGGTTGTATAAGGATGCAGTACAATTGCACGCGCATTTGATGACATCAAATGCGCGTGCAATTGCACTGGATCTTTATACAACCGCGTTCGCAACCGTTTCGCGAACGCGGATCCGCTTCCAGTGTGAATGGGGGGTAACAGCCGAATTCTGACTCAACACTCCTTATTCACTCCGTGCCGCGCACTGGTCTCTATGCTTCGTTTCAGCTTCGGTCCGAGCGCGGTCGAAGTTATGAGCCGAAGGGCCAATCAAGCAGCGAAAGAGGCACAACGTCATGGCGCGCTGTCTGCAGTTGATAGGACCAGCCGGTATTCGCCGTCTCTCTGTGCGCGCTCCTCCGCCGGCTAGACCTATCAAGCGCAGAGGGCACGCCATGACACTGCGCTTTTCGCGCTCTTTGATTGGCCCTTCGGCTCATAACATCGGCCGCGCTCGGACCGAGGCTGAAACGAAGTATCGTAAGTTTTAACTCGTCACATTTCCGTGTTCTCGGGGTTTATTATTTTTCCCCACAAACTCAGTACTTTTCGGTGTATTGTTTTGGCGTCAGAGAAAAATATGGTTTTCTCGAGGCTCAGCTTGTTGAAGAAAGACGGACACGGGCATGGGATTCTACGTGGGGCACGAATATTAAAAAACGACCCTGTAGTGATCAAACAGAAAGTAGATACTACTGGGTGTATCAAGGAGCGGCCAGACTCTTTAAATCGACCGCTAAATTCGGTTTCTTAACCTATC